CTAGTGGGAGGAATAACCTAGAATAAAGACGCATAATAGTATAATGTGAGGCTCAAAACTGATCATATAAAGTTCCTATCCATACTGAGTGGCCTTAATAACACAGCTCTTATGCTTTCTGAGGGGCCTTAATCACACGTGTGTTATGCTCTGTGAGTGGCCTTACACGGTTCCATATCCACACTGAGTGGCCCATCATACACAGTGACCTGGGTTGGGGGTAACTTACACACTCCCAAAGTCCCCTACCTACTTCCCTTCCCCTATCTTCCCCTCCCTGGGTGACCTGGCCTCCAGCACACGACCAGAACAGCTGTGTGGCGGCAGAGTGACCTAGGTTGACCCCAGGATCATTTATCACCAGTGCTATAAACCTGTCAGTGGCTGGTGACCGCCCACACACGCCTGCTGGAATATATCCCCCCTGAGTGCCCCCTGCCCCCCCCCCCTGCCTAACTCTGTAGAGTATTGGTTATTTATTCTCCCTTGATATTCTGACGCTATTATTCGCCCTTGCTGTACTGAGCTTAGTATAGTCTCCCTTAATGTACAGTGTTATGTTTGTTATTCTCCCTTGATACTTATATAATGTACTTGTTATTCTCCCTTGATACATATATAAAGGGATTGTTATTCTCCCTTTGCTATGCTGGATTACTATTCTCCCTTAACATACTGGGGTTTTTTCACCCTTAATGTATTTGATCCTTTCCATGTGTGTATTAGGGCCACTGTTCTCCCTCATATTTTTAGGCTACTAGTCACCCTTAATGGTTACGTTCACTATCCACCCTTAAAAATTCGATTCATTATTCACCCTTAAAAGTTTAGGGGGACTAATTTAATTAATCCACTAGAGCTCATCCTTAAGTTAATTACCTGTATGAGATAATCAACAGTATTAATTACCATCACTAATTAGTAAGTTAGGTAATGAGGGGCCAGTTGATGAGTTAATTAGTTGAGGAGGAGTAAATACCTGTGTGTGTGTGTGTGTGTGTGTGTGTGTGTGTGTGTGTGTGTGGAAACCTATAGAAGTATGTATGTAATGTATGTATGCATGTATGTACACACACACACACACACACACACACACACACACACACACATACTGTTTATATCACTCATCTTACCCTTACGAAGCGAGTTAAGCCCCAGTTAGCGTGTCTAATTAGGTCATAGTTCACAGCTACGACTGACCCGTTAACAGACACGGAGAAACCACTAAGGAGGGTGTTAACAGACGAGACATCTCACGGGAGTCTTAAAGATGATATAATACTTCCTTGATATTGTTGTTGCTGGCGTTTTAAAGGTGTTGCATTAAGCGTGTGAGTGTCAGCAAGTGCTTAGTGGTGTAGTAATGAGTTGTTAATGGTGTATGGGAGGGTGGGTGGGAGGAAGGGTTGGTATATGGGAAGGTAAGTGGATGGGATGGATAACTGGGTGGTGTAGGTGGGTGTAAGGGTTGGTGGTTTGGGTGGGTGGGTGGGTGGGTGGTATGGATGTATGGGTGGGATGGAATGTGGGAAGGTGAGTTGATGGGATGGATGGGTGGGTATAAGGGTAGTCGATAATATGGGAAGGAATGCAACAGGGGAAGTGGACACCAGCGAAGTAAATAAGATCCGTAGGTCCATTACAACAGATCGGCAGCACTGCCAAAATGACATGTTGCAGCAACTATTGCTGCAGGTTCCAGAAAATTTGACAAAAAAAGTAGCTATAGCGCAGGAGGTGGGCGCCTCGAACTGGTTAACTACGTTACCGATAAGGGAAAATGGTTTCAGCCTTAACAAACAAGAATTTACAGATGCCATTGCTCTAAGGTACGGTTGGCCAGTAGATGGTTTGCCCTCCCAATGCGTGTGTGGCTCTTCCTATGATGGCGATCACGCCATGGTCTGCAAGAAGGGGGGCTTCATATGCATGAGGCATGACGAGGTAAGGGATCTCACAGCAAATATGTTGAAGGAAATCTGCCGGGACGTCATGGTAGAACCGACCCTCCTTCCACTGGATGGCGAGATCTTCCAACACAGGACTTCAAACACATCTAACGAAGCCCGTGTGGACGTCAGTGCTCGAGGATTCTGGACGAGGGGACAGCGAGCTTTCTTCGACATCAGGATTTTTGATCCCATGGCCGCTTGTCACCGTAACCTAGCTCTCGATGCTGCGCATAGGAGGAACGAGAACGACAAGAGAAGGGCATATGGGGAGAGAATTCAAAATGTTGATCAAGGCAGCTTCACTCCTCTAGTGTTCACAACCTCTGGTGGGATGGGCCCAAGTGCAAGATGTTTCTACGCCAGACTCGCGGAGTTGATCTCCGAACAGAAGCAGCAGCCCAGAAGTTATGTTACAGCCTGGATGAGATGTCGACTGTCCTTCTCTCTCCTTCGGTCGGCTTTGCTGTGCCTCAGGGGAACGAGAGCTTCTGCCCCTACTCCGACAACTGCTGCAGATATTGACTATGAGGCTACAGTCACTGAATGCGGCATAGATCTGCGGCTCAACTAATTTAACATAGATAGGATAGCTTCTTATGTATTAGGATATTTAATATTATGGTAAATAAATGGTGGCGAAGGTGTGGCTATTGGGGGAGGCTGGAGGCCACGATTAAAAAAAAAAAAAAAAAATAGTAGTAGTAGTAGTAGTAGTATTAGTCCTTTACTGCAACTATCCAACAGAACAGAGGAATAAAACACACACACACACACACACACACACACACACACACACACACACACACACACACACACACAATTTGAGGAGGAACAATCAGACCCTCTTTTATCATTGGTAGACTAAAGAGAAATATCCGTTTAAATAAAGCAATTTATATATGCCAAATTACCCTTTCCTTGGTGACGGGTCAGGAGTAGAGGGGGGTGATAGGGGGGATGGATGGGGAGGAATAGGGGAAGGAATGGGGATCAAGAGGTAGGGGAAAGGAAGGGGAAAAGAGGAGGGGAGAGGAATTAGTAGTGGGATGGTTGAAAAAGTGGGTCTCAATCCCTCCATCCGTCTCTTTTCCATCTCTGTTTTTCTTCTTCTCTTCCTTTCTTCTTATTTTCCATTTGTTTGCATTTTTATGATTTTTTATTATCGCCTTTCCCTTCACTCCAAGACTCCCTTCCCTCCATCTCCTACCCTCCATTGGTGTCACTTCCCTCCACCCTACGCCCTCCATCGCCGACACTTCCCTCCACCTAACACCATATGTTGCCTGGACATCGACTTTTAGGAGACCACACCTCCCCCGAGGGTCATAAACTGTGTGTGTGTGTGTGTGTGTGTGTGTGTGTGATAGTGAGAGAGGGAGATAGTCCTTGTGAGAGACAGAGAGAGAAACAGAGAGGAGGGAGATACAGGGAGAGAGAGCGACGAGAGAGAGAGAGAGAGAGAGAGAGAGAGAGAGAGAGAGAGAGAGAGAGAGAGAGAGATTGTTTGTATGTGTGTTGAGGGATGATATCCTTAGTGGAGGGGTCATGGCCACAGTGGAAGGAGAGTTGCCACAGTGGAGGGGTAGTAGCCACAGTGGAGAGGTGGTGGCCACAGTAGAGGGGTCGTGGCCACAGTGGAGGGGTCATGGCCACAGTGGAAGGAGAGTTGCCACAGTGGAGGGGTCGTGGCCATGGTAGAGGGGTGGTGGCCCTGTTGGATTAAATTATCGCCCCAATTCGCCATTCGCTTCAGTTACTGCCATTTTATGACCGAGTCTGTCTAGTTCCTTCCTTGGTCTCTGTCTGTCTGTCTGTCTTTCTGTCTGTCTGTCTGTCTTTCTGTCTGTCTGTTCCTACTCAAATGGTTGTGTATGGTTGAGTGACTGAGTATATGCATGTGTATGTTTACAGGAACTGCATGTATACATTTTGATTACTTGAGTGTATTTTCTCTGTTCTGTAAGTGTATGTTTTCAGTATGTATAAATATATGCCTGTAATGCATTCTATGTATATTTTTATGAGTGTATATGTGTAAATATGTATATAGGCTTTCCCAAACGCTTATATTATTCCCTTTAATAATAATCTATTTGATGGAGCCCTCATTAATTATCCAGCTCCCACTGAAACACAATAAATAACTTGTCTGTCTGCCTGTCTGTCTCTCTGTCTATCTGTCTGTCTGTCCGTCTGTATGAATGATGGTCATGATATAAGCTTTTATATCGCCCTGACGTCAATTTCAACAATAATCATTGGTAGTAATTTATCTACGTCAAGACCATAGAGTTTTCTTATAAAATATAGGGCTATTATATATGGCCAATGTCCTATAGGTAGGTTTTATATATATGTAGCTAATACCTTATATGAACCTTATATATGTGGTCTATACGGTAATGTTCCGCACTAGAGAGAGAGAGAGAGAGAGAGAGAGAGAGAGAGAGAGAGAGAGAGAGAGAGAGAGACAAACAGGCAGACAGAACCAGAATAGGAAAGTAGAAAAGGTGAGAAAATTAGTTAAACAATAATAAGAGAAAATGGAATAGGAAAGAACAGAGGAAAAATAGAGGGGAAGGAAATAAGGAGAGGAAGGAGATGAGGGAAGAGAGAGAGAGAGGGAGGAATAGGGGGAGGAATAGGGGGGAATACTTAAGTAGGGGGAGAGTGGCCCAGTAAGCACCAGCACGTGACCGTGACGGAAGGGGGAGAAGGGGGGAGAGGGATGTGGGGGGTCGGCGTTCCCTTCTTTCTTCCCCCTCCTTCATTATCCACCGCTTTCCCCTCCCTTACCACCTCCCCTCTCCCACCCTTTATTATCGTCTGCCCCTCCCCTCCTTAACACTCTTTCTCCTCCCACACGCGTCTCTCATACCTCTTCTTTCTTCCTTTCTCTCTCTCACAGCCCATTTATTTCTGAAACTTTGATGCACGTTTTCTCATTTATTTAATTCACAAAAGTATAATACAAATATTAACTTTTTTTATATAAATATTTTGACATTAAAATTATGCTTAAAGAGCACCTTGGTGATTTGAGTTCACCTGGATTAGCTGAGGTTAATTGAGGTCACCTGGAGTTCGGTAAAGGTCATCTGGGGTCAGTTGAGGTCATCTGGTGAAGGCAGTGCTTGAAGAAAGTGTCTGTCGTCACCGTACCTGCAGGAGAGAAGTATATTGTTAGGTAATAGTCTCTCTCTCTCCTACACCACATATATTTACAATCACACACACACAGAAGGCTTTCAGAGGGTGGAGGGGCATGATGATAGAGAGATAGATAACAACAAAGAGAGAGAGAGAGAGAGAGAGAGAGAGAGAGAGAGAGAGCTAATCCACCCAGCATAAATGACTCCCTCCCTGTGTCAATTTATGCATGGACACGTGATCAACTCCCCTTCATATGGTACTGAACCCACAACCATTGAACCCTCCCCTTCCCCCTCCCTCCCTCCCCTCCCTCCCTCCCATCCTCCCTTCCCTCCCTCCCCTTCCCTTCCTCTCCTTCCTTCTCTTCCCTCCCTCCTCCCAGGCCACCACCAGCACTCTAACACTACCTCCCCCATCTTTCCTTCTCCCCAGTATCCATCTTCACCCTATCCCCTGTCCCCTGGAAGTTAACCACCCACTCATCTACCCACCCCTCACACACTCTATCTCTTTCACCCCATTTCCATTCCCTCCTGCAAATATCCTCCCCCCACCTCAACACACATTCTTCACTTCACCCCCCAGGAGAGACTAGGGGTGGGGAGGGTTATTGTGGTGTTGACTCGGGTCAGATCTCCCGATATTACACCGTCTCTCTGGGGGATGAACCAAGGGGGCGTAAGGGGGTAAGGGGGAGGGGTTAAGCAGACAGACAGACAGACAGACTCCAATCTAATTATCAAGTTGAACGTGAAATTCAATTAATTAAAAACAGTTAAACACTACAAAAAATTATCTCTCAACCTGATTTAACACACAAAGTTAAATACCTCATTAATTGAAACTGTTTAATAGGTTTACTTAATTTCCTAATTGAAACATAGAAACTAATTTAGAGTCAATGAATCTTCATGTCACCGTACTCAAAGGCTTATGTCATCGCACTCAAATGGTTACATCATCATACTCACAGAAAATCTTACACTCAGAAGGCCGAAGTTAATATATTATAATTTTTTTTCGGAATTTTATCGTGTAAAAACTTACAAGTATTTTCCATTTCTTATTATGACACTCATAATATTTCGTTTAGTGTTTGTTGGTAGATAAAGATTAATTGATTATCACAAACATGAAAATAAAATATCACTCTCGCTCTATCTGGCGTTTTGTGAACATATCTTAAAAAAAAAAAAAAATAAAATAAAAATAAATATATATATATATATATATATATATATATATGATAAAAAAACACAAATAAAAGAGAATCATAACTGAAAAATATAATTACTTTATGTTCTCTAGAATGTAGTGAAATATATACTAGAGTCTATTAAATGTAATTGAATTATAATAACAACAAATGTGGCGTTGTGATGCTGTGATATAAACAATGTAATTTTCTGAAATATTTGTAATGCATCAAAAAATCACTAGTTTAGGTTACATTGTAGTGTTTATATGATGTGTACGAATGACTATATAAATTAATGTATATCCACGATCATATACATTATATACAGGAATAAAAGGCAATACAAAATTGTAATAAAGCTGAAATTTTATAGCACTTCATATAAAATCAGCTTCCTATATTGTTCATTATTTTCTATGGCAATATACCAAGGTCATACCTATATCCCTATACCACTGTTTACTTATTCAGACCACATACTGTATATACTAACCTGCTCACAACCATACATGCTGCCTATCTTGTTCAGCTACCTTGTTCACTTACCTTGACCACACATATACTTATCTACACTCCACCTACACCCTTTCTGACCAGTTACACCCATTGAGGATATCTATACCCACTTACACTCAACCTACATCTCCCCACACTACATTTTTACCCACTCATATTCCACCTACACTAACTCATACTCTACTTATACCCACTCATACCTCAACTACACCCACTCACACCACTTATCTACACACACACTCACCCACAATACACCTACACCCACCCACACTTAACCTACAAAACCCAGAGAGAGAGAGAGAGAGAGAGAGAGAGAGAGAGAGAGAGAGAGAGAGAGAGAGAGAGAGGCTCGAAAAATACAAACACTGGAAAAAAAAAGTGTTGGAGAGGGAACGAATGAAGGAAGAGGGAGAGAAAGATAAAAGAGGGAGAAGGAGGGAGAAGGAGCAAACTGGAGGTGATCAGATAGCTAACATAATACCCTTGTGAGCCTTCAAGCAGTCAAGAAAAATGGCGGAGTCTCTATTGTTCAAGGGAGGAGCAGTCGTTCGGTGTTTCTCGCCTTGTGGACCACGACACACACACACACACACACACACACACACACACACACACATACACACACACACACACACACACACACACACACACATTTAATTATTTCAAGTTAACAATACAAACTCAAAATAAAACCAAAATAATAACAAAATAAGTAAATAATAGACAAAAGTGAATAGCCAATCAGGATACCATTAAGATAATTATATATATTAGAAGAATAAAAAACAAAATACAACTATAATCAATATTTTTTTTCACACCATCACACTAATATTACTTCATAGCCAAATTTTAAGTTCTAGGGCTTTGAATATCATAGGAACAAGAAGGATATTGTATTAGGACTGAGGTATGATAGATGGATAGTCGGACAGGTGTGTTAGTTGATGGACAGGTGTGTTGGTTGGTGGATGGACAGATGAACAGGTGTGTTGGTTGGTGGATGGATAGGTGGACAGTTGTGATGATTGATAGGTGGATTAGTTAGAGCACACTTTAATAGATTTTTTTATTTTTTGTTTTTCCTCTACTTTGAGTTTTTCTTTGTAATATTTCCACTTTTCTTCCTTCTCTTACATTTCCCTCTTTTCTTAACGATCATTACTATTTTCTTCTTTGTTTTTTTCTATATCATCTGTTTATTCCTTTATTATAATCTTCTTCCTTGTTCTGTCATCACACCAGGAGGAGAGAGAGAGGGAGGAGGAGAAGGAGGAGGAGGAGGAGGAGGAGGAGGAGGTGAGGAATCCAGGAAGATAGGCGAGATAGTGTCGAAGGTCTCCAGGAGGCGCCTGAAGGACCCCCACCTCCGTCATGGTGTTATCCTGCGGCAACCTCCTTCATGCTTGTGTGGCCCTTCGTCAGTTGTTTTTTCCCTCTGAGTTTATCCTATCATATAAATCATCTTTTTCTCATTCTATTTTTCGTCTTTCTTTGCTTTTCGTCTCCGTCTCTTCCTCCTTCCTCCTTCTCTTTATTGTATCGTGTTATTTATCTTCTTCGTTTAATCTTCCTTCTCTTCTTAGTTTATTTTTACTTCTATTCTTAGTTTATTCCTCGTTTTCGTCTTCGTTATTTAATTCTAAGTTCCTTTAGTTAATTATCACCTGATTATTAACACTCTATTCTAGCTTATTTCACCTTAAGATTAAACACTTCAACGCTAACCTAACCCAACAAAGCTTAACTTAATCTAACCAAACCTAACCTAACCTAACCTAACTTAACCTAACCTAACCTAACCTAACCCAACAAAGTTTAACGTAACCTAACCAAACCTAACCCAACCAAACCTAACTTAACCTAACCTAACCTAACCTAACCTAGCCCAACAAAGCTTAACTTAATCTAACCAAACCTAACCTAACCTAACCTAACCTAACCTAACCAAACCTAACTTAACCCTCTCATTATCAAGTCTCAACAACATTCTATCTTAAAAACAAAACAAAATCCCTAAACTCTTCTCATTATGATAAATTACCGCCTCTCATCCCATTTTCTATAGATAAGAAGAGTAACTATGGTAAAATCAACAAGTTCGAGGAAGAGAGGATGGTATAAAGTCTATTGTGTGTGTGTGTGTGTGTGTGTGTTGACTTAGCCCAGCGTCTTACTTGTGTTCTGTTGATCTTCCTCTCTACCTGTCACCTGGCCGGGGGGGAGGGGACAGCGGTGATAATGGAGGGTGAAGGTGCTAGAGGCAGGTAAAAGGTGTACAGGATTTATTAGTAAGATCATTAAAGTATATCTAGGTGTTGTATCATGAAGGAATTGACAGGTATGTGATTATTTGGGTAATATTATTATTCAGCTGTGTGAAATAATTAAGTTTTCGATAGTAAGATAAATATAATAACAATGATTATGATGATGATGATGATGATGATGAGAGAAATTTCCATCAGTAATTATATATTTAAGAAAAATTATAGCCTGGGAGTGAAAATTATACACCCTTGATGTGTACAAAAATTTACATATGTATACATTCTCTCTCTCTCTCTCTCTCACACACAAACAAAGCGGTTCTATCCTCCCCATTTCCCATCAAAACTTTTCTCAGCAGTTTTCTCATTCTCTCTCACAACCCTTCGTTATCTCGCAGGGTTCGTACCGGCGAAAGACGGTCTGGCGTAATCAGAGTAAGTAGTCGAGGTCGTTAATCATTCTGTCACGTCCCCCAGATGACTAGCGGGGCGGTGGTGAGTGGGGGAGGTGGTGGGGAGGGGTGGTGGTGGGGGGCGGGGTGGTGGTGGGGTGGCGGGGGAGGGTTGGTGGTGGTAGGGAAGGGGTGGTGGTGGTGGGGGAAGGTGGTGGTGGTGGGGGAGGAGGGGTGGGGTGGTGGTGGGGGAGGAGGGGTGGTGGTGGTGGGGGGAAAGGGGTGGTGGTGGTGGGGGAGGTGGTGGTGGGGGTAGGGATGGTGGTGGTGGGGGTAGGGTGGGTGGTGGTGATGGGGTGGTGGTGGAGAGAGAGAGGGGTTAGTGGTAGAGGTGAGTGGTGGTGGTGGTGGTGGTGGTGGTGGAGGGAGGTGATGGTGGTGGGGGATGGGCGGTGGTGTTGGGGGGTGAGGTGGTGGTGGGGAGGGTGATGGTGGTGGGGAGGGGTGGTGGTGGGGGAGGGGTGATGGTGGTGGGAGGAGTGGTGGGGAGGGAGAGGAGGTGGTGGGGGAGGGAGGGGGTGATGATGTGGTGGTGGAAAAGTAGAGTGGTAGAGGTGGTGGTGGGAGGAAGGT